TGGACCACCCTGGTAGGACCCATCTGTGATTTCCATAGCACTGAATGTCAGCACAACAGTCAGAGAAGGCTCATGAGGTAAGTATTATTCACATGACAGTGAATGGTGTCTCAGAGTCCTAAGATGTCATGATGTATGTGTTGTGTGTGTGTGTAAAATGAGGTCTAAAATGGGTATGCTCACATAAATTTCACAAGATCATATTTTCATAAATGTTGGCTGGATGTTCATCATTAAGCATCAAATCAGATCCTATACTAGATACAAACCCGAGATGTAGAGAAGAGTGAAATTTTCCTTCTTACCTCACACCTTTTGCAAAAGAGAAACTTTGTCATTATAAGGGTTCTATGTGATAGACTCTCTCATCCACGTGCATAATAAAATGGCTGCTTGCGGCGCTTTTGTTCTCCTTCCTGGAACCTCACTTCCAACCTATGGGAACTTCCTCTCTCCCTACTGCAGGGAGCCAGCCCCAGCAAACTTATTCCAGGGTTTTTCCGAAAGTGGGTGCGGACGTCGGCGATAAGGATTACACGGAGTCAATGGGTCTTCTTCTTACCTGCTTTAATATTCTTTTTTTCTATGCTACTCTCTACTCGACTTCTCTCACAATCTTCTTATGTACCGTAACAGAAACAAACATTGTTTTCACAGTAATCAATGACATCAAGGTACAATCTATCTTGGGGCACATTCCTTATGGTTTACAACTCTTAAATTTACAACAGGGATGGGAAGTCACAACAAAGACATTATCTCAAGGCATAGGAGACATCCAGGCACCTTGGAACTTTTAGTGAAACATTTGTTCCTACATAAATCTGTTCTTTCCTCTGAGAAGCAAGTTAACCTTTACATGTTTCTTGACCTTTGTTAGTCAAATTTTAAGCCATCAAGCCTAACTGTCAGATGCAATTTACACTTCTTTAGCTTCCTCCTACAGAAACATCCTTTCTCAGGGAAGTTGAAGCTTATCAAAACAATTCCCCTATTTTACTGATCAGACTTCTTATTTATATAACTGTAGATTCTCACAGCCCTTATCTATAGTCTAATTGTTTTCAGAAATTTTTGTAGCCACAGCCCTTATTTATGGTCTATTCGCTTTTAGGATTCTTTATTGCCTTAAACTAAGGCTACAAGGAAAAATGTTTACAATCATTAAAGCTAAGCTGGTAGTAATTCAATTGACAAATCCTGTCTCCTAGCAGTCTTAAGACAATTGTTAATATAAGTATTAAAATTACCTATGATTACAAGTAGAATAAAATGTAGCTAATGCATGGCTTCTAACTTTTAATAAAAATATACTAAAGTGTAGAAGAGTCAAAAATCTAAAGTAAAAGGGATACTAATAAAATCATAAATAAATCAGAAAATGATTCAACAAGAGAAAAATTTAACTAGGGGTTTGTGCATAAAAAATAATTTGAAAAAAACAACTTTTTGTGGCTCTGCCATCCAAAGATAAAAAGAAAGAAAAAGAAGAACAAAAAATAGTTCATTGTTGCTTTGCAAAAACAATGAATTCTTCATGCGCGGGTTTCCCCGTATCACATTTATTTCAGTTCCTCGATTATTATGTCTCAATTTATTTATTGTATTCCTTAATTAATTATGGCTCTTGCCACCCTACCTGCAAGGCATCCTTAGTCTACCTATCACTTACCTCCACTAATCTCAACCCCGCCCTCCTCTTAAACCAGTATAAAAGTCCTTCCCCAGCAATACTCTCTCTCTCTCTCCTCCTAACCTCCAATAAAGCCTTACACGTAGATGTTTGTGTTCCGGGTCATTTCATCTCACACTATGAAATCTTTGGGTCTTTCTTTAACCTTACCCTTCACTAAACATATAAGAAGTCAAAATGGAGAGAGGCCTTATGATTGTAAGGATGTTGAATAGCCTTTTGTCAGTATTCACACCTTGCTATACATGTAAGAGTTCACAGTGAATGTAAGGAATGTGGAAATGCCTTTTGTCAGTATTCACAACTCACTATACATGTTAAGAGTTCACAGTGGAGAGGAACCTTATGAATATAAAGAATGTGGAAAAGCTTTAGTCGTTCCTCCCACCTAACTGCCCATATAAAGACTCACAGTGAAGAGAGGCCTTATGAATGTAAAGAATGTGGTAAAGCCTTTAAGCAGTTTTCAGATATTTCCTTCTCAGGTATTTCCAAAGCCTGTCCATCTTCCAGTATGGAGTGTAGTTCTACTTCCAGCTCATATGCCTCAGTCACTTTATCTCATTTCTGGACATGTGCTGACATGGTCATCTATTTCTGTTTTACGGGCATATTCAGGAGTTCTCTGTGGCCTTAATACTTAGATAGGTGTGTTTTGGTATTTTTTATGCTTTCTGATTGCCTCCAAGTAGATGTGATCAGGAGATGGGTTCCCTTTTCACTCTTTTTCCTGAGAAATTTTAAGATGCCACTATTGGTCGTTGTGATGTAACTCTGGGTTTAATTTTTAGCTTATTGCCTCTTTTGTCTGCCTGTCACACTCACAATCCCCGTTCAGGCCTTTTACCAGTGATAAACAGTTCAGGGCTGGCTGTGGCCGTTTTGCATTGTCATTTGGTTTAAGTGTATACTGTCAGTTTAAATTTTGAGATCTGTGCGCATGCATCATAGAACCCTCCAGGGATGGGGGTGGAGTGTCCGCTAGCTCAGGCACCCCCTCTAGTCACCAGAATGGAGGTGCACAGACATCAAGAATCCAACGAATACATACTGGGAATAAAAGAATGTCCACACCTTTACATCCGCAGTTCTGTCAGGCATCTGTGGAGACTCTGATCCTTCCTCCACTTGTTCTCTACCAAGATGGCAGTTCCAGGAGCAGCTGAGCATCTTGACATAGAAAGCAATCGATTTCTTGCTTCTGCTACAAATTCCCTTTGCTGTAAGTCTTCCAACCTTCTAAATATCTCTTTATATGTGGTTCAGAGTTCTGGCACCATTCCCTGAGCGTCTTCGGTCCGGTATACTGTGTTGTTGCTGACGGAGCTCCTCACTGCACTTCTACCTGATCTGACATCTTGTTTGTTCTCCCTCCAATTTTGATTTATTCTTGTACATTTCCTACATTCCTTACATACAGAAGGCCTGTCTTCACTGTGGTAACTCTGATGTACTTTGAGGCTTCCAGATAGAGGGAAGGCTTTTTTACATTCCTTACATATGTGCAGTCATTCTCCAAAGTGAGATCCCATATGTCCACTGAGGGATTTGGAGTGACTAAATGATTTCTCAAAGTCCTTACATTCATAAGGCTTCTCTCAACAATGAAATCCAGTAAGTGCACATAGGTCTGAGGACTGAATGAAGGCTTTTCCACAATCCTTATACACATAACACCGGTCTCCACGGTGTGTTCCTTTATGTTGAGGGAGCTGTGTCTGAAGATTAAATGTTTTCCCACATTCCTCACATTCATAAGGCTTAACTCCACTGTGACACCTTCTATGTTCAATGAGCTTTGAGGAACAACTAACGGCTTTTCCACATTCTTTACATTCACAACGTGTTCTCCATTGTGAGATCCTATATGTTTAGTAAGGGTGTAGGACCGAGTAAAGGTTTTCCCACATTCTTTACATTCGTAAGGCCTCTCTCCACAGTGAGGTCTCATATGTAAACTGAGGTCTGAGGACCAAATGAAGGCTTTCTCACATTCTTTACACTAACAAGGCCTGTCTCCACTGTGTGATTTTTTATGTCGCGTGAGCTGTGTGTGAAAAAGAAACCATTTCCCACATTCCTTACATTCATAAGGTTTTTCTCCACTGTGATATCTTGTATGTTCAGTCAGCTTTGAGGAACAAATAAAGGCTTTCCCACATTCTTGACATTCATACGGTTTCTCTCCAGTGTGAAGTCGTATATGTTTAGTAAGGCTAAAGGACCGAGTAAAGGTTTTCCCACATTCCTTACATTCATAAGGCTTTTCTCCACGGTGAGATCTCATATGTGCACTAAGGTATGAGGATTGATAAAACGCTTTCCCACATTCCTTACATTCATAAGGCCTCTCTCCACTGTGAGATCTCATATGTAGAGTAAGTCTGTAGGATGTAATAAAGTCTTTCCCACATTCCTTACATTCATAAGGCCTCTTTACACTGTGAGATTGTGTATGTTGAGTAAGTCTGTAGGATGTAGTAAAGTGTTTCCCACATTCCGTACATTCATAAGGCCTCTCAGCACTGTGAGATCGTTTATGTGAAATGAGTCTTGAGGAGCAAAAATAGGTTTTTCCATAGTCATCACATTGATAAAGTTTCTCTCCACTGTGTGTTTTTTTATGTTTCTCGAGGCGTTTGAAGGCTTTCCCAAATTCTTTAAACTCACTAGGCCTGTCTCCACTGTGTGTTCTCTTATGTTGAGTGAGCTCGGTCTGAAGATGAAAGGTTTTCCCACATTCCTCACATTCGTATCGTTTTACTACACTGTGAGATCTTGTATGTTCAGTGAGTTGTGAGGAACAATTAAAGATTTCCCCACATTCGTTACATTTCTCTCCAGGGTGAAATCGTCTTTTATGTCTAGTAAGGCTCTTAGGCAGACTAAAAGCTTTTCCACATTCCTTACATTCATAAGGCTTCTCTCCACTGTGAAATCTCATATGTTGAGTAAGTCTGGAGAATTTAAGAAAGGCTTTTCCACATTCCTTACATTCATAAGAGTTCTCTCTACTATGTGATCTTATATGTTCAAGGGGTTTTGGGGAACAACTAAAGGCTGTCTCATATTCCTTACATTCAAGAGGCTTCTTTACACTGTGAGTTACTCTCTGTCTACTAAGGGCTATGGCATGACAAAAGGCTCTCCCACATTTCATATATTCATACTTCCTCTCACCACTTTGTGTTCTACTTACATATTTAGTGAGGGATGAGGAACTATCCTTGGGTTTCCCACAATCCTCACATTTACAAACTTTCTCCCCATTAACAGTATTTGAATGATGTTTTATGTAAGAGGGAGAACAGAAGGTTTCTCTATGTTCTTTATACTGGTATGGTTCATATTCAGTATGAAAGCTGATTCGATGATTAAAGGTATAATTACCACCCTCATGAAACTCAAAAGCATTTACTCCAACCTCAGTTCCTCTGAGGCTCCGATGATTTTCCTCAGAGCAGGTACTTTGATCACCTTCTTCATATTTCTTCACTTTATCTTCTTTATTTGCACAGCATCTCTCTACTATATCTTTTCTGTTGAAAACAGGAATCATGCTGTTAAAATTACATTTTATACTATTTCAAAACTAACATACACACTGAATGTGCATTTTTTCCCCTGAGATGTCTCATGTTGCACAGGTTAAATCATCACAAGCATGGTGCTAGCATTACTGTCACTGTATTCCATAATAAACTTTATGATACTGTGTATAAATGAGCTATCACAAATACATATTTTTGTCGTTGTTAGGTACCATCAAATCAGTACCAGCTGATAGCAACCCTATGCAAAATAGAACGAAGCACTGCCCGATCCTGGGCCAAACTCACAATTGTTGAAATGCTTGAGCCCACTGATGCTGCCATTTTGCCAAGCCATCCAACTGTGAGTCTTCCTCTTTTTCTCTGAGCCTCCACCTTACCAAACATGATACCCTTGTCCAGCAAGCAGTCCCTCCTTATATAGTGTCTTATCATTTATAGGAAATTACTAAGTTGTGAAAATCAGGGAAAGACATACACGTAGAGCTCGTTTTGTATACACACACACACACACACACACAGGCACACAAATGTAATGTCATCTTGAGGCTGTCCCATGGAGCATACCTGGTATGCTCATCTTGGGAGGTGCGCTGATTTTCACGGCCATGAAACTCACAGATTTCTCCTGACGCGTACCACCAATCATTACTCTTCATGAATTTCACCATTGTAAGTTCTCTGCACACCTTTTCTCCATTGTTACGCTGTTGAGAGACTGCACCAAACAATAGGAATGGATTTTCAAATAATAAAACATGAACGGAATTTGATAGCAAACAAAACCTGCAAACAGAAAATTCAGATGATCACTACTAACATATCAGAAATGGAAAACACAGTAAGGACAAAGAAGGAGAACTAAATCAATGAAGACCAGATTTATCAAGCTTGAAGATAAATCACCCCCAACGCGATGGATCAGCCAGGTGGCATCGTTGATGGACTCAAGTGTGGCAGCGGTAGTGAGGTTGGCCCAGGATTGGACATTGTTTCGTTCTGCCGTGCATGGGGTCGCTATGAGTCGGTTCCGACTCGATGGCACCTGACAACAACAACAACAACA